AAATGGTCAGTCCGCCCTGAGTATGTGTATATACAGTTGTGTCCAAAATTATTCAACCCCCACTGAAATTGAGTGTTTTGGCCAGTTTGACATTGCTTTTGATCATTCAGTCATCTTGCTTACATTTACATTAAAGAGGCACTTGTAGGTCAGACAAATATAACATAACAGTTATAATGAAATAACCACAAATGTCTTTTCTGTGCTCACAGCGTTATCAGTTTTATTCAACCCCCAAGTGACATTCAATCTTAGTACTTAGTACAGCATCCTTTTACAGTTATAACAGCTTTTAAACGTGAAGCATAGCTTGACACAAGTGTCTTGCAGCGATCTACGGGTATCTTCGCCCATTCTTCATGGGCAAAGGCCTCCAGTTCAGTCACATTCTTAGGCTTGCGCACTGCAACTGCTTTCTTTAAGTCCCACCAGAGGTTCTCAATCGGATTTAAGTCTGGTGACTGCGATGGCCACTCCAAATTCCAGCCTTTCCTCTGCAACCATGCTCTAGTGGACTTGGAGGTATGCTTGGGATCATTGTCCTGTTGAAAGGTCCAACGTCTCCCAAGCCTCAGGTGTGTGACGGACTGCATCACGTTTCCATCCAATATCTCCTGGTACTGAAGAGAATTCATGGTACCTTGCACACGCTGAAGCTTCCCTGTACCTGCAGAAGCAAAACAGCCCCAAAGCATGATTGACCCTCCACCATGCTTCACAGTAGGCAAGGTGTTCTTTTCATCATAGGCCTTGTTCTTCCTCCTCCAAACATAGCGTTGATCCATGGGCCCAAACAGTTCTAATTTTGTTTCATCAGTCCACAGAACACTATCCCACAACTTTTGTGGTTTGTCCACATGGCTTTTGGCATACTGCAGTCGACTCTTCTTATTCTTTGGAGACAGCAAGGGGGTACGCCTGGGAGTTCTGGCACGGAGGCCTTCATTACGCAGTGTGCGTCTTATTGTCTGGGCTGAAACTTCTGTACCCACATCTGACAAATCTTTTCTCAGTTCCTCAGCAGTCACACGGGGACTTCTCTCCACTCTACGCTTCAGGTAGCGCACAGCAGTCGAAGTCAGCATCTTCTTTCTGCCACGACCAGGTAGCGTTTCAACAGTGCCCTTTGCCTTGAATTTGCGAATGATGCTTCCTAAGGTGTCTCTTGGTATGTTTAACATCTTTGCAATCTTCTTATAGCCATTGCCCTTCCTGTGAAGAGAAATCACCTCTTCTCTTGTCTTCCTGGACCATTCTCTTGCCTTCACCATGTTTGTAACCACACCAGTAAATGTCTAGAAGGAGCTGAGTATCACAGTCATTTTAAAGCTGCCTAATTGGTGCTTATTATGCTTGATTGCTGCTCGGTGACATCCACAGGTGTTTTCAATACCTGATGGAAAGCACCTGTATGAACCTCTGTTCTTCAGAGTGGTAGTCTTTAAGGGGTTGAATAATTGTGGCAATGAAGAAACCACATAAGAACCATTTACTACTGTATTACATAAACAATTGATGTCATTTTAGTTGCATTTGGGTAGTTACAACGTCCTTGTAGGATTTGATTCTGAATACAATTCCAAATGTACACTATAGTCCCTAAACCCCTTTACAGCATTGGGGGTTGAATAATTTTGGACACAACTGTATATATATATATATATATATTGCACTTTTACATATGCGTTTGTGATTTGCATGGTTTTATTTATTGGATGAGATTTGTTGCACAAGTCTAGGATTAGTGTACATGGCACTTTGGTCTATTTTTGGTGTTAATTTTGCACTATATTGATAGCTCCTGCTCCTAAGAATCTTTAGGAGTTTTCTGTGGTGCAGACTGAGAATGTAATACATTTCCTGGGACGTGACTGACCATTTTATTGTTTCCTTTCCAGGAAAGAAAATAGGTGCGCAGAGAAAAATATAAAGGAACAGTGTTTTTTGCCAAGCAGTATTAGCTTCATCAGCATCTTGAAGAAAGCAAGCAGATCATGGGATCACCTGTGTGCATTAGCATGTTATGTTTGAACGTGAATATGGCAGCCTAGGGTAGAAGTCGGGAAAATTAAGATGACTATGGAGAATAAAGTGCACTAGCTGCTTGAAATTGCAATTAATATCTATGGGCCAGTCCAGATCGATGAAAATTTACTGAACCTAATGCAGTGTCTTGATGAATTATCATGTTACTTATTCTCACTCAGAATTATTTTAGCTTGCATGAGGATTTCATTGGCTGACATGTAGGGGTTTATTTAATAAAGCTGGAGAATGCAAAATCAGGCTCACTTTTGCAATGAAACCAATCAGCTTCCAGGTTTTATTGCCAAAGCTTAACTGAACAAGCTAAGGTTAGCAGCTAAGTGCCTACTGTGACAGCCCCAGCTGGGGTATGGGCTTTTGGAGGGGACTAGGTGCTAGCCTTCTAGCCACTGATTAGGCTCATGGAGCAGACCGGGGATACTGTCTGCTTCTCCCGGGCAGAGCATGGAAGAGAGCTTAGTTCAGCCTCTGGTCCCATAGAGAGAGAAGATCATTCTCTAATGATGGACAGTAACATGATGAACGCTGAGGAATGGATTAATTCTCTGCATAAAGACAATAAAACTTCCCTCTGGAGTGGATGGAAAGGTGTAATAAGATTCTTGTACAGGTTAATGGTCAGAGGAAATATGGGACCCTCCTTCAGGACTTGGGTTGGAGAAGCTCTTCAAGTTGGGACAGAAATATTTATCAACAATCTCCATCAAGAAATCTATGAAGATAAATTAATTCCACTTTTTCAGACTGTTGGAATATTGTATGAGTTTTGTCTCATGATAGACAGATTGCACAAGTAGGGGCCAGTCACATGAAAGACAGCATGTGTAATGTACTTTTCAGGGTTGGACGTTCTGGGCTGTCTGGGGTGGGCTCGTGGCTGGCCTGGGTTCCTAGCTGTTGATTAGCTTACTGTTAATTAGATCACTGATAGCTGTTTGCAGTTCATTAGATGTACTAAAGATATTACTGTTTACCATTTGCACTGTTTAGGATAATGTGATTAAGCTCCTACCTAATCAGTGTGGGATGTTTATCCCAATGTGTAAAATTTGTTTTTATTGTTCATGTGGGGACTGCCCCTATTTCTGAAGAGTATAAAAAACCTGAATATCTGTTTAGTAAACAGTTCCAGTTCACGCCTAAGCTAGTGTTGTCTAGTCCTTGGGTGCAATGCCCAGCTATAATACCTTGGTCCTGTGTCCCAGTGGCGAGGAAGCAGTTCTCTGACGGAGGCACTCAAGTGGGGTACCAGGCGGTCTGCCACAGCTACCATGCACAGCTGCACTGGACTCTTGAGTGCACCACTTTTAGTAAATCTATCCCCATAATCACTAAAGGAGGAAGCTTCATACAAATTTATGTTAACTATAAGGCTAAATAGAGTATATGGAAAAGCAAGCAATATGTGAAAGACTCAAAGATTAGTCTCAGCTAAATAATAACAAATAATACAAGAATAACTCAAGTGTGAAAAAAAACACCATGTGTTCCCTTTAAATACACACAGGGCATTTTTTTTGCACTTAGGAGCTGCAAATGATCGGGCACTAATGTGGATAATAAATTTATGAATAAATAAATCTCATTGAAAATGCTGTAGACTGCAGACTTGCTACTATGCTTTTACCACAGCCGTTCACATAAACAGCAGTCAACTAATGGCTGAAATTAATATTTCATTATGCAGTTGTTTGCAGAGGACTAAGATAAGCAGGAAAGAGGAAAAAAAATATGTTGATGGTTGGGGGTTTATAGTCTATCCAGCTTACACAGCAAAATAGTGGTTCTTAAAGTGAACCTGTCAGGTTAGAAAAAAAAAGAAAACAGATCAATGATCCCGCAATAGAAGAGCCATACTCAGTTGTCCTGCCTCCCCTGCCTCCTTTTTACCCTCCATTTCAGCTCTACCACTTTCACCAGTCTCTTTGGCATTCAATATTTATGGAGAGTGTTAGATGCCTGCATGTTGGGGTTCCATTCTCTGACCCATATGTCACAAGTGTGCCCTGTAGTGACAAGGGACACAGGCGATCACACTCCTGGAAGTGTATGGAAGCTGCAGGTTGTAAAGTATGTAATTACTTGGTATGGCCAGTAAAAGTTGTGCCACACTTTACCCTTTACACTTTACCCTGTAAGATTCAAGACAGGCAGTAATTTGTGGGTTTGAAAAATCCAAGCAGTTGTGAGTTCCCCAGACACTTCAGAGCTGCTCTCCAACATATATTCCAAAGGGGTCCAAGCAAAGTGATTCTGACCAATTGCCATAACTTTCCCAGTAAAGTCTTTTTTTTCCTGTCTTGAAAACAAACAAGGTGCATTAGGCAATTGCAGGGAGACTAAACCTGGCCATACATGGATTGAAATTTGGCAGGTTCAACAGGAGCTGGACACATTTTGATCTATGTATGGGCAGGCTGGTTATACGTAAGTCGTTGTGTTGATTTATTTGTGTACAACCAGCCTTCTGATTTTTTTCTCGAATGGTCAGTGCTGTCAGCTATAGCTGCCAACACTGATCATTGTATTCTGATGTCTGGGAAGGCTTCCCGCTGTCAGAACACAATACCACAGTGGATTCCCCCATCCAACTCGAATGGGTGGATGGGGCAATCAGATCTTTTTTTTTTTTCAACCTACTGGTTGAATAAACAAACAGTAATCATGTATCATCCCCTCCCTCCTAGATTGTAAGGTCCAAGGAGCAGGGCTCTCAAATCCCTCTTGTATTGAACTGTATTGTTACTGTATTGTCTCCCGTTATATTGTAAATCGCTGAGCAAACTGTTGGCACTATATAAATCCTGTATAATAATAATAATAATGTATGGCCAGACTAATGAAACAGTTGCATCTTGCTACTGTACAATTCCATAAGAAAGCACACACCAGGTAAAATGAAAAATAAATCAACCTAACCACCTTAACAGAGGATGGGCAACTTTGTTATTCACCTGATGATCCCTCATGTATGTAAGCCTGATGAATGAAACTTGGCCCGCAGTCATCTGATAGTCGCACACACAGGACCAACTGCTGCCGAGTGTTGGATCTCCGCACCAGGAATGTCTGGAAGATAAGAAAGACTTTGTGTTAAATTCTGAGTACAATGGACCTTAAAATACTAACAAACTACATGTATTCTGGAGTTCAGTGTTCTCAATAAGCACTGCAAAATGGGAAAATAGAAAAGCATATGTTCCTAACGATGCTATAAACAAGCCAAAAAATATAGCAAAAGGACAAAGTCTGAACATGTAAGCTCCCTATAACATTGAGTGCCTCATTGGGGACAGGGTTACAAACACTTTGGGCCTTCCTCAGATTTGTTCTCCTGCATTGTCACCCTTGTCGCAATGGCTACAAAATGGCTGCAAGTGATGAGCATTGCTGATATGTAACAGAGGAGGAATACAAATTAAAAGAATAGATAAAAGAAGAAAAATATGGCAATTGTTTCAATATGCAGTGCCTTGATTAAATGTAGTTCAGTTTACCATTAATTTGTTCATATGATCCAAAAATGATGACACAAAATAAATGTTAATTACGCACCTGCAAAAGACAGCTTACACCCATGAGTCCTCCAACAGCTAAACTCAGCCATTTCTAATGTGCAATAAGTAGGGAACATTTTGTCAAACTTAAAATATTGCTACAATTTTCCTCTAATTTCATCTTGTGCAATAGCAATTTGAAGCTACTCTTAAAAAGCATGGATGTTATAAAGAAAAACCCTCTCAGTCTGTGCACTGGCCTTATGTTGATAAGGCTAGATATCCCTAATCATTTTAAAAAATTGGTAGTGAGAAAGGGCTGTCAGTTTGACACATTGCATCACTAAAGCTAGCCATAGATAGATCGAAGCTCGGCTGGTTCAGCAGGGACTGGCCGAAATTTGATCCATCTATGGACCGGCTGCTTGTACTGAAGTCAATCCATCTAACCAGCCTGTTAGATTTTTGCATTTGATCACTGCTGGTGGCTATAGCTGTGTTCTGTCCGCAAGGAAGGCTCCCCAGCGGCAGAACACAATAGTGCTCTGAGGAAGGGATTCCCCCATCAACACTGACTGTTTTAATGGAGAAATCAAGAAACTTTCTTTCCTTTCACCTGTGGTGGAAGGAAAGAAAATTGTATCATCTATGGGCTGCCTAAAGCTGGACATAGATTGGTAGAATTTTGAAGAAAATTCTTAGGAAAAGAAAAAGTTTGTTAATTTTTTTAATCATTAGTGGGTCGATTCAATGTTTGTTTTTGACTGCAGTGACAAGAAAAATTTGAAGGAGCAGGATGGAAATTTTCTCAAAGGAGCACATTTCTAACAGTGTACGTGGTTTTCATTGGTAAAGTTCATTCCAAAAGCAAAGGAAATCTTTTGAACAACATTTGAATGTTCGGAGAATTTTTGTATGAATTTTCCTAAAAATGATTCTATCTTCTTGCAAAATGTAATCAATCTATGGCCAGCATAACTTGTCTGAAAATTAACGGGCTTTGTTGCTTGTAAACAAACCCATTCTAGTAATCACCTGACAAGTGAAACCCTTTGTGTGTCCTCTCTGGGTCTTTCAATGGGATGAGTTTACATTGCAACACATTAATAAAGAAGCCCACTGATTAGTTTATGAACCTAAAGAATAAAACTTTTTTTTATCACATATCTATGCTCACATTTTAACCACTTCCCACAACTGGATGTACCTATATATGTTTGGGTTTAAGTGGCCATACCAGGATCATGGCTGCAACTGCAGCTATGATCCTGGTATCATTATTTAGATTGAGCGATGTTCTTTTTAGGTAAAAAGAGTTATAGAATACAGTCATAGAATATATATGATATGATCATCATGTTCGATGCTCTAGTGTCCATGGCCCTGAAGAAGTGGTGTTTGTGAAACACATAGACTCAAACTATTACACGTACGTCATCAATAACCCTTTTTAAGTCGGCTGTGTCACAATTTTTAATGTGTTATAATAAAAATTATGTTATGATAAAATGTGTTTAGTTGGATATGTTTATGGGTCTCCGGTGGTTACTAAGAGAGTCCATTATATAAAAAATTTGACTGTTTGTTGACTTTTAAGTTAGTTTTTTTTCTACCATGTTTGACATGGTCATGTATGATGCCATGGAAAAGGTAAAAAGAATTCTGATAAAAAACAAAACACACTAAGGCGTCACTCAGGGTCCTTAAAAACAACTGTAAATGCTGTAAGTCTGTGAAGGTTTCCATTTACCCATAAACCATCATAACCTAACTACAATGAATTTTGACAATAATTCGCCAATTTTGCCCATGCTTACTGTAAGCTTTGGTTTTGTTCTAAGAAATATATTTGATGAGCTCCTATCGTTTTAACAATGTGCTAAAAAATGAGTCTGTAACGCATGGTGTCATGGTTGAAAATGCAGGTAGCAGGTAGACAATATTGCAGTGATGTTGGAACCACTGTTTTACAACCAGACTTCAGAGCTCAGCCCAGAAACTCAGTGAGTAAATGCCTAAGCTTCTGCTCCTGCTAAAATAACTCTAAAAGAGGACTCTGTAGCAAAATATATTTGGGAAAATCCAATGACATCATCTCTGGTGTACCAGGATATCCTGCAAGTTCTACTGGCCATCCTACACTTGTTCAGGCCACGAAGGAAAACAAATCTGCTAAAAATGATGCTGTAGATCTGAAATGATGAAAGTACCACATCCAGGAATATGTCATAGAAAAGCTTGTATTTGATAGCAAGCATTGTGAAATAGTCTTCAACAGGAACTAGTTCTAGTAGATACAGAAGGTTTAAAAATGGGTTTGATGCTTTCCTAAAAGGACAAAAGGGTTACTTAGGGTTATTAAAAAAAATGGTATGTTGAACCCTTCCTTTTGTGTGGGACAGGTTTGCGGCACAGAGCTTTAAGCCAGTTTTATTTAGATGCATGTAATCTAAAAAAAAAACCCCAACTAATATTTAGAATTATAGCTCCATAACAGACTTCCATGAAGGTTCTTGTTTATCAAGGCCATGGTATAACTACTATTAGTCTCCTTCAGCCAGACTTGTTCTGTAATGTTGAAGATGTTTCGTAGCTCATCAAGACTGCTTCTTCAGGAAGTCCAGGAAGATACCCCAGCATTTATATCCACACAGGTAGAACAGACACCTTAACCAATAATCTTGGATAAACCAATCAACAAACCACCCATTCTGTTCTTGAACAATATCATTAAAAAAACTGATAAAAATAATTACTGTAAATGGAGAATCCCCCTATGGGACTTTAATGCAGCAACTATATGTAATGCTTACTAAACTGTAAGAATGTGGAAATGTCGGAGATCCCCAAGGAACAAAAAGCTGTATCCAGTTATTTTATCTGTATGGTCAGATAGGACCATAAAAATACTTACTCAACATCCCATAATGATGAATACTTCTCTTCACAAAAACAGAAAATATAATGCTCACCAAACCATCCAAGACAGCATAGGGGACCACCCTCAAACCAGAAAGCTTACAACCAACTGCAATAAATCATCCAATATATATAGGTCTCAATGTGAAGTAATTATCTCATCAGTTATCTTATCAATGATTACTCTGTCCCCTTAAGAAGATCAAAAAGTGGAATGATCAAAACGCGTCGGAATAACTTTTTGGGAATTCTGTTATTCTGTAAAGGAAGTATCTTTGCAATATCCATCAGAGCTAATATTTTTAAAGATTATGTATCTTTCACAAATATGTCCATGTAATGAAGCATATGTTTTAAAAAAAAGTTATTTTGAGTATATGTGTAATGATATGGTTGCTGCATTAAAGTCCCAAAGGGGGAATCTCCATTTACATGTTGGGGATGAGCAGCTAGATACTCGACTCTCTGTTATGATAAGAATAAGCACTATCTATGCTACATACTGGATTAAAACAAGATTACCAACATGGTGAAACACAATAAAAATAAAAAAATAAATGAATATAGTCCCAAGTCTTGCAAAGAACTGGAGCAAGGTCTACTTCAGCTGTCCCTGATCCTCAATGCACAAGCTTCATTGGTTAAGTTGGTTACATTAAGGTTACATTGGCTACACGTTTCAGGGGTGTGTCCCCCTTTCTCAAGCCAAGCCCACATGACAGTAGGAGTGGCCTGTGCAAACCTAAGAACAGTGGGCTTCTGTGGGCAGCTGAGCACAGTGGGGATTTCATCTGCTTGTCAGCCTGCAGTGAGTTTAGTCTTCATACTAAGCAATTACCAGACATCACTGACCAAGATGTAAGTGGTTCTCCCATCTTAGCAAGATGCGGATGCATTCAAAGTGCTTCTAGTTACAGGAAAAATCAGTGCAACCATTGCTGATATTTATTTCACATAAGGATTTTATACTTTAACTGTTCTAGGGGTACATTTCCTTGTGTTTCTCTTTTTGTCTTTTTGACAACATCATTAGCCTTTCCATGGTGACTGGCTAAGGTGTCTGTGCTACCTGTGAGGACATAAATACTGGGATATCTTCCTGACACTCGTGGTAACTTAAGAAGAGACTTGGATGAGCTACAAAACATCTTCAATGTTACACAACAAGTCTATTTTAATGTGACTAACTACTACTAGATGTTTCTTTACAGACCCAGTAATCTCTTGTTGTGATTCTTTGAACCCAAACACATTGATTTAATTATACATGTGTTTCATCTAACCTCAATGTATGGCCAGCTTTGGCCCATTCTGAGGTCTGGGACAGGTCTTTCTAACTTCCTCCACACACCGTTCACATTATAATGAGAAGAATGTATACACAGCCAAAGGTTACCAACTGAGTGTTTCAATGACTTACCCCTGGCGGCTCTCTTTGTAGTACATGCAGTGCCGTAGCCGAGTTGACACTGTGGTGAAGCCACACACTCTGTGTGAGAAGAAGCCTGTCAGTAATGCTGACCGAGGCTGATGATCCTCTTGGAGATGGGGAGCGGGGGGGTTCGTTATTTGGGTAATCATACACAGGTTCTGTTTTGCTGAAAAGACAAACATAAAGAACTGGACATTAGGGTGTATAGACAAGAAATTGACCCAACATTCACTTGTTATGACCAAGATTCCCTTTTTCACATCCACTTTCTGTGTATGTGTATATATATATATATATATATATATATATATATATAGTATAGTATATTATTTATTAGACAGGATTTATATAGCAACAACAGTTTGCCCAGCGCTTTACAATATAAAGGGGGACAGTACAATATTTATACAATAAATATATACAGTATCACAGTGGTCTCTCATTGGCAAACAATACTTACCTGGCAAAAAAATAACATCAAACACAATTCGTCTATGGGAACGTTTCATTGAATAGGATTTGCTGAACATCTCCTTAATGGGAAAGTGTTTCAGGGCTCGTTTACAGTTGCAGCCAGGGGCAGTAAAAACAGGCGGTCCCCCAACCACTACCTTCACTAAACACAGCCACTGGCTTGGGTTTGCTTAAAATGGCATCTCCTGTCAAAGGAGATGCCATTTTAAGGCATTTGCAGGCAGTACAACTGCTGAACATAACCCACTGAATATGGGTGCGCTGCAATCTCCCTGAAGCCAACACAGTGGTGCAGGCTTTACAGGGTTAAAACAAGTGGTGAGGAGGCAACATACCACCTCCCAGCAGCCTGCCAAACATCCTCTGAAAAGCAATTCACAGTAAAGACTAAAGTCTATGATTTTTGTACATAAAACATGTAGGCACCTTTTTTTGCACTGCACTGGAACCGTATCGCATACTTGCTTTGTACAATACGATCCAGTGCAGGCAAATGCACTGCATTGTTAACTTTTAATTGGCACTCGTAGCAGATCACAAAACACATTGCGGTGCGGGAAACGTGGGGTTTATGTGTGAACCTAGGCTAAAAGTCAAACAGGATACTTCATAGTTTTTGTCTATTTAACTGTACTACGCATTCTATTTATCACTCAGTGAATATACATTATATTGCCAAAAGTACTTAGACTCCTGCCTTTACACGGTCAGGCACTGATGTCGGACGAGAAGGCCTGGCTCGCAGTCAGCGCTCTAATCCATCCCAAAGGTGTTCTCCCAGGTTGAGGTCAGGACTCTGTGCAGGCCAGTCAAGTTCCTCCACTCGAAAACTCACTCATGCATGTCTTTATGGACCTTGCTTTGTGCAGTGGTGCATAGTTATGTTGGAATAGGAGGGGGCCATCCCCAAACTGTTGCCACAAAGTTAGGAACATGAAATTGTCCAAAATGTGTTGGTATGCTGATGCCTTAAGAGTTCCCTTCACTGAAAATAAGGGGCCAAGCCCAACCCCTGAAAAACAACCCCACACCATAATCCCCCCCTCCACCAAACTTTACACTTGACACAATGCTGTCAGGCAAGTACCGTTCTCCTGGCAACCACCAAACCCACACATGTCCTTCAGATTGCCAGACAAAGAAGCGTGATTCGTCACTGCAGAGAACACGTCTCCGCTGCTCTAGAGCCCAGTGGTGGCGTGCTTTACACCACTGCATCCAACGCTTTGCATTGCACTTGGTGAGGTAAGGCTTGGATGCAGCTGCTCGGCCATGGAAACCCATTCCATGAAGCTCTCTACGCACTGTTGTTGTGCTAATCTGAAGGCCACATGAGGTTTGGAGGTCTTTAGCTATTGACAGTTGGTGACGTCTGCGCACTGTGCGCTTCAACATGAGCTGACCCCGCTCTGTCATTTTACGTGGCCTACCACTTTGTGGCTGAGTTGCTGTTGTTCCCAGTTGCTTCCACTTTGTTATAATACCACTAACAATTGACCGTGGAACATTTAGTAGCAAGGAAATGTCACAGATGGACTTATTGCACAGGTGGCAACCTATCACGGTATGACGTTTGAATTCACTGAGCTCCTGAGAGCGACCCATTCTTTCACAAATGTTTGTAGAAGCAGTCTGCATGCCTAGGTGCTTGATTTTATACACCTGTGGCCGTGGAGGTGATTGGAATACCTGCATCCAATGATTTGGAGGTGTGTCCCAATACTTTTGGCAATATAGTGTATATAGTAAATCTAGTACATGCGTTTGCAAAATCAAAACCCTGGGGTCTAGGAATGAGGATTCAGTAGGCATTTGCATAAAAGTAGGTCCCTGTAGTATTAGGCCCCTTTCACAGTCCAATCGGGTCCACCTGTCATTTTTTCAGGGGGACCCAATCGGACCATCCATAGCTCTCTTTGGAGCAGCGGGTGTCAGCGGATAGTGATAAGCTGACACCCGCCAGCATCTGATCCAAGCCTATACGCAAAAAAAAAAATAAAATAGACAGATGGAGATCTGTTCCCCATCTGTCCAGTGGATCAGATCAGTTGACAGTTGGGTGGAAACAGACAGAAAATCCGTTTCCATCTGACCACCCCATAGAAAACAGTGGGCTGTGTTTGTGTCAGCTCTGCAGCAGCAGCGGAGCGGACACAGACCTGTCATCCGCTTGCTCAGCGGGGATCAGCGGAGAGATCTCCCCCCCCCCGAGCAAGCGGCTCCGCTGACAGGTCCACCCCATCTGAAAGGGGCCTAAGTGTCTGTGTTGATGGGCTTGTGTTGGTGTCATCAGTTTGATTTGAAAGATGTAGCAATCATTCAGAATTCCTTGACAGGTGCATTTGACCTGAGGTTCACCTCATCCTGACTTGCATAGACTTGTATGGAAATTCAAAATTCCTTTATAATGGACAAAAATGTCCGTCATTGCAGACCAGGGGCAGACTGACAACTCATGGGGCCCCCGGGCAATAGGGGATCATGGGGCCCCTGTGTCCTTGCCCAAACTCAAAAAAGCCTATGAAAAAGGTACCAGGGGCATCTCATGGGGCCCCCTACTGACCCCAGACCCTCGGGCAGTGCCCGAGTTTCCAAATGGTCAGTCTGCCCCTGTTGCAGACCTTTGTGCTAGGACTACACCAGCAATTTTTATTTGCTCAGTAAAGCTACTAAACTCTCATGAAACCTATTTCTTTGTATTACATTGCTTTTCAAGTAAACTGCTGCATAAAAGATTTTCAGTAGTCTCATTGAGTGATTGATCTCCCATGAGAAATACAATATAATCACATACCAGGAACTATTAGCAGTTGATCTCCACTATGTTTCTCCAGAGATTTGAATGGTAACATGAGAGTAATCGCTCAACAATTGCTCAGTTAGAATTCTTGGGCAATTAGTCATATTTACGTACACTTCATGAATATGATCTCCTAATAAAAGTACCCAACAATCTCTTGCAGTAGCACAAAAGAGTGTTTTTTTCAACTAACAGATTTTTTTTCTGTCTATGAGATTAAAAACTGCCCATGTAGCCTAAAGTTGTCCATAGATGGATCGAAATTTGGTCAGTTCGGCAGGGACCAGAGGAATTGCGATCCGTACGTGTTTGTTTCTCTTCATCAGAAGTTGATCTTTAGATCAACTTTTGTCAACCTAACAAGCTGGAAAATGTTTGGTGTTCAGTTGCTGCAGCCACTGATCACTGTATTCTGACAGTGGAGATTTCTGCTGTCAGAATACAGTATCCTGGTGGGAGGGATTCCTTCATCCACCTTGTTTGTGTGGATGGAGGGATCTGTTTTAATCCATCCAGATTGCCAGCTAAACTTAAAAAAAAAAAAAAGCAAAATCCACCTTTAGAGTGGCCAGACACTCTTAGATTTCCTCATCTACACTATACAACAAGGATGAAAAAATCTTCAGCTGCAGGCTATTGTATTTTGACAGCCACCACCCCCAGCTGTCAGAATACCTGAACAGTGTCCTGTTGGCTGTAGTCACTCTTTGTCTGACAATTTTCTGCCTGATTCATTTGATTTCTGAAAGATGTTAGGCAGAGTGAAACTCACAGGGCCAAACACAGCTCAAATTTCATCCAGCTTTAAAGTATGTGTAAACCCTCACTTTGTAAAACTATCCATTCAGTTGAAAATAGAAATGAAAGACAAACATTTGTGTATAGATATATAAAACATTAAAAATACCCTTTTCCTCATTTTTTATAGGTGATCACATTCCCTCAGCTGCATAGACAGATGGGGGTGGAGAAACAGCAGTACGCTGGTCTTCCCAGTGAATGGCTGTGCAGGGAAAGGGGGGGGGGTGTCAGGACAAGTCTGATCATTGGATCAGCTAGAGAACTGGCAACGCTGTGCTCTCATGCCTAGTGTAGTCAGTTTTTAATAGGAAAGCAGAGGGACTGGCCACCAGGGATTTCTCACAATGGAAGCAATATAAAGAGAACAAAATGCATTTTCATACAAGTACATGGTACAGCAGGCACATATCAGGAATATGAAATTCTGGGTTTACATATTATTTAGGGCTGCCATAGAATTTTGGTTAATAAATGATGGCCCGGTTGGCACCACATGGTTCAACAAAAGTTGATTTGTCATCAGATGCTCCCGCTGTTTGGGTATTCTGCCAGACAAGTGACAGCTGTCAGAATACAACAGACAGCAGTGGAGATTCCTCCGTCCATTATTATTATTATACAGGATTTCTATAGCGCCAACAGTTTGCTCAGCGCTTTACAATATAACGGAGACAATACAGCAACAATACAGTTCAATACAAGAGGGTTAGGAGGGCCCTGCTCCTTGGAGCTTACAATCTAAGATACTGAATTAGAGATATCTATATGCGTATGGCTAGCTTTAGGGCCCTTTTTTACGGGCAGACAGATCAGGTCTGCCTGTCCATTTTTAAGGTGGACCCAATTGGACCACCCATTGTTCTCTATGGGGAGGCAGATGTTAAAGGACGTGTCTGTTTACACCCGCCTGCATCTGATCCACTAAAAACAGATGGATGGGGATCCATTCCCCGTGCAGTCAGTCGGATGTAAACAGATAGTCAGCCCGTTTACATCTGACCGTCCTGTAGAGATCAGGTGACTGTGTCCATGTCCCTTCTGTACAAACGTAGCAGACATGGACCTGCTCAGCGGGGATCAGTGGACAGATCCCCCACCGGACAGACGGATCCACTTGACAGAATCCCTGTGTGTGAAAGGGCTCTTGGTCTTACACAGACAGCCACCACGGAGAAATTGCAGTAAATGTAGAGCTGTCAATCATGTCTCTAAGTTGCAGTCTGCTAAGGAAAATGCAACCTGCGTGAATTTTAAGTGTTACCATGCACTTGGTGACCTACAGAAATAAATAGTAGTGCAGATAAATACACGTGTAGCGTGCATGTGTCTAGCATACTATATGACCAGCAGACTTAGAATTTTTATAAATGTCTCTTCAGAGAAAAACATGCATGAAAACACATCAAAGCACAGTGACAAGTGTCAAAAATGTGAGTCAACACAGAAACACACATGCCGGCATCTGCATTAAAAGAACACAATGCTGCACTGACTGTCACATCGTCAAGTGTCAGTCCAGCGTCCCGGGTAACACATGCACAATAAGCGATCACAAATCCTTACAGGCAGCTGGATTTGCACTAGTGTCTGATTCTGTCCAATATATGCTTGATAATGCACCTTGGTATATTAAGCACAACCGAACTGTTAATGAAACATCGTCATTAGATCTGAAATGAATGTAATGCTTCAACTAATACAATATTAATGTGGATTTAGCGTGCTTGCTGTAAGAAGCTCTGACCACGATGACAGAGCTGAAAATCTGGAAAGTAACAGGAGAGATGTTTTTGGAGAAATACCTTGTCATACTGGGTTCCGATACTGTTTCCATGCCAGGAATTCCAGTTTGCTTCCTCCTTCCTAGGAGATGCTTGATCTGAATTTGGGAACAGGATTACAGTGTCACGTTGCTATTAAAGCAGGAAAGATTATTACTCATGGGTGAACTTTGGCAGAACACAGAAATACTGGATGTATAGTGGAATGTGTTGGTTTACTGACGCTACAGAACTTTTTCTATGAAATACTCTTTTTTTTTTTTAAACCGTAATATAGCCATTTCAGCTTTAAAGGAAAGCAACTTGACTGTAACATATAAAGTACAGCGTTCTACTTCTAGATTGCAAGCTCCATAGGTAAGTGACCTCCGCCTGAGTACAGTTAGGAGTTTACAGAGTATTCTTGCTAGGATTTCAGATCAGTACTGGACATAATAGGCTGCTGTTCTATGAAAATAGGTTAAGAAAGTCCTAAGTACACTTACCTTGGTTCTCCCTTGGGACGCAGACTGTGGAATCTCTCTCGCCTTCTTTTCCAACCCCTATGGGCGTTCCCAGCGTGACTAACCCTTAGGGTGTAGCAAGGTATATACGCAGCTCCTTCACTCATTATTTTCCATGAGCCCTCCCCTTCTTGCCTTTCACTGTATCTCTCACGCTCTCAGCTCTTCCCACATGCCAGCTCTGTAGAGACTTGTGAAACAAGAGTAGCTTCATAGCTTCCAGGAGGGAACAGCTAGGGGCTCAGAGACCTGGAACTGCTAAAATATTAACTATTTAAAGCATCATTCACACGGACATAAAAAAAAAACTCATTTAGAAGCGTTTTTTATCTACAGATCTGAACACAGATGCATTGATTTTAATAGAGATATTCATACAGGTGCATAGACATACATAGCTACATAGTTAATCTGGCTGAACAAAAGACAAAAGTCCACCCAGTTCAACCATTAAAAAAAAAAGTTATAATTCTATACCCGCAGTTGATCCAGAGGAAGGTAAAAAAAACCCAGCAAAGCATGATCCAATTTGCTCCTGCAGGGAAAAAATTCCTTCCTGATCCCCCGAGAGGCAATCGTTGATCCCTGGATCAACCTTACCTATAAATGTTAGTATCCAGTTATATTCTGTGTATCTAAGAAATAATCCAGGACTTTTTTGAAGCAATCCACTGAGCTGGCCAGAACCAACTCTTGAGGGAGTCTATTCCACATTTTCACAGCTCTCACTGTGAAGAAATCTTTCCGTGTTTGGAGATTACATTTCTTTTCCTCCAGACGTAAAGAGGGCCCCCTTGTCCTCTGTGATGACCTCAAGGTGAATAGCTCTACACCGAGTTCACTATATGAACCACTGATGTATTTATACATGTTGATCATATCCCCCCTTAATCTCCTCTTCTCAAGAGAGAATAAATTCAGTTCCTCTAATCTTTCCTCATACCCTGTGTTCAGATCCATAACACAAGATCCAAAAATTGGCATCTGAGGACATACATATGCAGGTATTGAAAAAAAAAAAGACAGTTGGGCACATTTGCTGATCATTACACAGTGAAATTTATGCTCCAAAAAGATCATGAATAATCAGATCAGTAAAATGTTTACACCAACATGAATGTAGCCTTACTAATCTCTGTGGACAATTGTACAATTGTAATCTCATTTACAACTGTCATTCTTTAAACTAGCAATAGGATACAGACTCTATATCAGTGTTTCTCAACCTTTTTTTCGGCCAGGGCACCCTTTAAAATTATGGACAGTCCCCAGGCACCCTTTAAAACTATGGACAGTCCCCAGGCACCCTTTAAAACTAAAACCCCCAGGCACCCTTTAAAACTATGGACAGTCCCCAGGCACCCTTTAAAACTATGGACAGTCCCCAGGCACCCTTTAAAACTATGGACAGTCCCCAGGCACCCTTTAAAACTATGGACAGTCCCCAGGCACCCTTTAAAACTATGGACAGTCTTCAGGAACCCCATTCTAAAACAGGGTGCCTGAAGACTGTCTACAATTTTAAAAGGGCACACCATTCTAAAATATGAAAAACTATTCTAATAGTTTATATAACACAGCAATATCCACACACATAGAACACCCAACATTAGAGCTGATTTTATTCTTCCAAAGCAAGTACACTTTTACACACTGGTACTGACTAGTATTCCAGTGTTTCTCTTCTCCCTCAGTTTTTCTCCATCACTGAGCTAATGTGTCCTCAGCACTGATGCAGCCGGGCAGAGAAGGGTCAGCTGGGATATTGTGCACACAGATGACATCCTCCTTATCAACTGATGATGTCATTGGTTGTCAGGACGCTGGCGGCTAGAAGGTCGTAATGGTGCACAATGAAAACCTGAGGCTTTGTGTAACTAAAAGGCAGGCTTGTACCACCCGCTGGCTTGTATACAAGTTTTGATAAATTTTTAGAAATTTTGCCAAGGCACCCCTGAAGAAACCTCAACCTCCCCTCCCAGGCTGCTCTATATCACTGTATAAAAAGACATTTTAATCCGTTTATGTGCAGGCTGGTTGTACAAAAATCGATCCATCGATTGACTTGTGTACAAGCAGCCTGTTGGGTTTTTCCCAAAAGATCAGTAGCACCAGCTATAGCTGGCAGCACTGATCATTGCTGGAGGAAAAAAGTGGATGACCTCACTCAAATATGCAGAAAAGCGCAAGAGATTATTGAAAAAAAATCCATCAAAGCAGACATGAACGGCATCTACAGGACAGGAACATTACTGACACATTTCATGCTCCAAGCACTTAATTGTAACACTGAGGCTCCATGCACACTGGACATTTTAATAACACTGGTAACATTAGCTGTGTAAAGTCACGTTAAAAACGTTTTCGCATCAGCGTTTAGCTGCGTTTTGCCACGGTTTGCAGCGTTAGCAGCATTTTTACAGCTGAAAAAACTCCTCTAGAAACCCACTAGTTCGGGGGGGGGGGGGGGGGGAGTGGTTCCAGCCAAAAAACACCCCTGCCAAAAAAAAACGCTGATTACAGTCTATGTGTGCATGGACACGTAGGATAACATACTGGGGAGTTTACTGGCTGTCGAAAAAAAACGCCAAAAGCCAAAAAACAGCCGCTGTAAAAATGTCCAGTGTGCATGAGGACTGATAATTGTGTATTCTGACAGCAACGAAGGCTCTCTGCTGTCAGAAAACAGCAGGAAGGGTTCGCCCATACACCTCAAATGAAGGATTTGGCTTCTTTTTTAGTTCAACCAGCTGGTTGAACGAAAAAAAAAAAATCATGTATTGCTAGCCTAAGACAGGAAGTGTGTTACTGGCAGGATCACCAGGTGAAAAAAAAGGAAAAGAAGCAAAAAAAAAAAAGAAAAAAAAACTAATGCGGTCATCAGATCTAAGGATTGGCAATACATTATATTTTTTTTTGGGGGGGGGGGGGTTAATATCTTGATACCATTAGGTTAGTTACTCAATGTATGGAGGTAAAAAGGTCAGCATGATAGCCAGGAAACTAGCATTTTCAGGAGATGTGTGCAATGGCAACTTTTCATCAAGTCCGCCTTTGAAGTGTTTTATTAGTAAAAACTGCAATAATGTATTTTCATGTATAAAAATAAGAGGAGAACTTTAGGACTGTATGATTAAAATGTTGTTACTATTTCATGCATGCAATCTTACAAATAATTGAAATGTATTAAAATAATAAAATGCTGTGGTATCTGGCACCAAGCTGTCAGTAGCAGATCCTTTAAAGTGTTACTAAACCCAGGACCCTGCATTCACTATATCCGGTGTCCCACAGTACACACAACATGGAAATGCAATTATTTTAGTAAATACAAACTGCTAAATACCTTTTCTAATCAGAAGTTAGAGCAGTCTTGTGGCTTCCATCAGTGTTTCAGCCCAGCACTAGCTAAAGCTTGTAGGAGGAGTTTTATTTCTTCTCTAGGAGGATGCAAAACCTCTGACCTCTGTCTGACCAGTGCTGACTGGCCCTGTGCTGAACACATGCACCCCCCCCCCCCAAAAAAACTCTAACAATACACACCAAACTGAGCATGTGCAAAAAGCCTACAGTTCAGTCTGTCTTATCAGGAGATAAGAGGTGGTCGCTTGAAAAAGGGGAGGAACAGAGAAGATAGGATCAAACAGCCTTTTTACACAATGCAGAGGATTAACCACGTAGGTTTTACATTGAGTATAACAAGCATGCTTTACTGCATATACAGACTGATTTTACTGTTGTGGGTTTAGTAACACTTTAAGGCTTTGCTGGCTGGATTCATCAGACCAGGCCACCTTCACCCGTTGCTCTTTGTTCCAGTTCTGATGCTCGTGTCCATTGTAGGTGATTTTGGCTGTGGACACAGGACATCATGGGCACCCTGGCCTGTCTGCGACTACCTAGCCCCAAACACAACATAAACTGCAATGCACCGTGTGTTCTGACACCTTTCTATCAGAACCAGCATTAATTTTTCAGCAATCTGAGCCACAATAGCTCTTCTACTGAATCGAACTACACGGATTAGCCTTCACTACCGTTGTGCTTCAATGAGCCTTGGCTGCCCTTGACCCTTTCAACTCTTGTTGGTTTTCCGTCCTTGGACCACTTTTGGTATTTTCTGACCACTGCAGGCCGGAAACATCTCACAAGAGCTGTAGTTTTGGATTTGCTCTGATCCAGTCGTCTAGCAATTACAACTTGACCCTTGTCAAAGTCACTCAAATTCTTATGCTTGCCCATTTTTTCAGCTTTCAACACAATAACTGCAGGGGCAACATGTTCACTTGCTGCCTAATATTTCCCACCCACTTTCAGATGCCATTGTCACAAAATAATCAATTTTATTCACTTTAGCTGTCATTAGTCATGTTATGTCTGATCGGTGTATACCTAATAGTAGTTTGTTAACTGGACTTGTTCTGCAATGTTAACCACTTGTCAACCGTGCTATAGCCGAATGACGGCTACAGTGCGGTTGTCCAGTCCTGGGAGGGCATCATATGACTTCCTCCAAGAACGCACCCTCTCGCATGCCCCTGGGGACATGCACCCAGCGATCTCCGTGA